ATTTTTTTTTTATCATATATATATATATATATATATATATATATATATATAGATATATAGATATATGATCAGATTAACCTGCTATATATGGTCAGAAATATCTGGCTATATACATGATCAGATATATCAAATATATAGCCTAAAAAAATTTTTCTGACCATATATAATTAAATTTGTTTAGATCTGATTTTTTCTTGATATCGATGACAATTTCTCAACAGATATATCGAATTGCTAATGCTTAATGATCAATTACAGGTACTGGACATCTGGACCTACAAATCCGTTGGTAACAGATTATCCAGTAGATAATAAAGCCGCTATAATGGATAGCATTGCATCCTCGTACAGCTTGGGACTGTCAAGAGCACGTTTTCCAGCAACCCCAACATCCTTGCCAGGACAACGCTATCACGTTATTCCGAGTCTGAATTTCAATCTGGCTAACAGCCAGGACTCCAGGACCAGACAAGAGATCATGCAGCGTAAGAGTGCTGATGCGCTAATGGAACGCCAGAAGGAGCAAATTTACCAGGATATTCAAAGAAGGATCGCAAACGCTACCAATAATAATAATAACTATAATAACAGAAATAGCGCAAATATCAGCAGCAACAACGTTGATTTTAACACAACACGCTCTTATAGTGACGATAACATCATTACGAGCACAAAAGAAACGCACAAATTCAGGAAGCAGCATCGATTTGCTAAAGGGAAACATTTTCGACGACGTAAGTTATTTTATATTTCTGTTATTCTAACAAACTCCCTATATAGCAATCTTTTTTAAAGCTTGAGTAAATCTAGTCTCTATTTTGATAGCTCAAGACACTGGCACCTAAATCTTGCTCAAGCACATTTTACTCGGGTCATTTTTATAAAATCAGAACTTATCAGATCTTTTGGAGGTTATTAGTTAAAAAAGCTATTTTTAATCATTAACTGTGTTAAGTGGTTAAAGGAAATGTATCGTGTAAAACGAAGTAATAAAAAATTACAACGCTATGGAAAAAATTAAAAAAAGATCTAAAGGCAGCTTTGATCAGCCACGCAGAAAATATAGCCATTGAACGTACACGTGCCCTCTTGTATTACGAAGTATAAATGAAAAACTCTAGCTGGCGGGTTCTTTTCTTTTTTCCATCCCTTGTCCACATCCACGCCCTGTGTATACCAGACTCGAGGGCAAGACAGGCTACTGGGATTTAAATTTCAGGTCTGGTTCATTTCCAAATCGTGAATATTTTATAAATAAGGGTGAGTGAGGGAGGGGGAGGGGGGTTAATTGAAATGACAGGGTTAAAGAGTATTTTAGGGAGAGAGAGAGAGATCAAAAATCAAATGAGTCAAACGTATGTCGTAGATGTGGATTTATTAAACGCCTCAAGGGCTTTATCCAATGGGTCATTTTTATTATTTATTCTGCTATTGTCATATTTTAACTTCATATTTGTTCCATGTCAGTTAATACTCATTTTTACTCTATTTACAGACTTTTTAATTAACAGTACTTTGTATGGTTTTTTATGTTCAGTTTATTGAGTTGTATCGGCAGTATTTTTATTTTAACATGCTTTTCAATTACAGAAAAAAAATCATTATTTTTTAACGAATTTTATTTTTAAATTTGTTGATTTTTTTATTTTGATATAATCTGATATATCTGGTCAAACGCAATATATCACATCAGATTAGTACTATGACTTAATATATCAGATCAGAATTAATATATATGGTCAGAATTGACACATAAAATCAGATTGAATGGATCTGATCGCGATCTGAATATTTCTGATCTCTCAAGATCTGATATATATGATCAACTATGATATATCAAACCAAATCTAATATAACCGATTAGTTTAATTTTATGAATCAGATCAGATCTGATATAGTTTTCATTTTAAGATCTGATGTATCACATTATATAGAACTTAATAGATCTCATCACATATAATCTTATATATCACACCAGATCTAATGTATCTGGTCAGATTAGATCTAATGTATTTGGTCAGATCTGAAACCTCACGAGATCAAATGTGGTCTAATATATCAAATGGAATTTGATAGATCTGATCAGAAGTTAATAAATTCAGATTAAATATATCAGATCGCGAACTGAATATTTCTGATCATTCAAGATCTGATATATATGGTCAACTTTAACATTTCAAGACCTAATAAGTTTCATCATATATAATCTTATATATCACACTAGATCTGGTATATCTGGTCAGATTAGATCTAATATATCAGATCCAATTTAATATATCTCAGAATAAATGTATATAATTAGATCGAACATATCAGATCGCATAAAATTGAATGTTTCTGATCATCTTCGATCTGATATTTATATATCAGATCAGATGTAAATCACAGATCAAATGTGATGTGATGTATCCAATCAGATCTGATATATCACATTATATAGGACCTAATAGATCTCATCATATATAATATTATATAATCAAATCTGATATAAATGGTCAGATTTGATCTAATATATCAGATCAAATGTAATATATATATCTAGTCAGTATTAATGTATAATAATTAGATCTGAAATTCATAAGCAGGTTTAATATATCAGATCAGATCTTACTATCAGATCATGTGATGTGATGTATCCAATTAGATCTGATGATCCAATATATTACACCTAATCTTGTATATTTGGTCAGCTATAATATAAAATGTAACACATGAAATCAGATTTAATAAATCTGATGTATGATCTAATACTTCTGATCAGATCATACTTGACTTATTTAATTAGATCTGAAATATCAGATCAGATCTGATATAACAGATTTATTTTAATTCATTACATCAAATCAGATTTGATATATCTGGCCAGATTTGATAATTTAGATATATTGATTCATTAAAAATCAGATCTAACATACTTATTATATTTTTCAGGTATCCCACGGGACTGCAAAGTAGGAGAATGGGAAGCATGGAGCGCTTGTAGTCGTAGCTGTGGAGTAGGAGAAACACAACGAGTGCGGAAAATTACTGTTAAACCACGACGAGGTGGCGCTCCCTGTCCGCCACTCAAAGAGACAAAATGGTGTGGAAGCGTCACTCCTTGTCCTGATAATAATAACAATAATAATAAACCGATTGTCGATATATTTTCTTGGTAAAATAGAAAAGCAACCGAATAATTATTTTTGAAAATTGAAATTTTTTGGACAAATGCATTTAATTTATTTACATTTTCTTTTTATGTTTAAAGAGCCATTTGTTTTTCATTTCAGAAGCTTTTTAATTAGTTACAAATTTAGATTATATTTAAACTTTATGACAATCTGGGCAATTTTTTAAAAGTGTAAACTTTTAGATTTGTAATTTCAACGGTAAAATTTCATTCTTTAATTAATGAAATAACAATTATCAGTACCTTGATATTTAGATGCTTTCGAGCTTTTATAAAAAAAAAACTATATTCAGTCCTGTAAGAAAAATTACCGTAAATGATATGTAAGATCTATAAAAAAACTATACTATTTGATAGAAAAACTGTATTATTTGATAGAAAAAATTAAGATCTAACCAGATCTGATCAAATATATTAGATCGCATCTGATTTATTAAATTGTAGTCGATGTATTAGATCTGATCTGATATATTCGATCCGAAATATTTGATCTGATCTGATATATGCGATCTAAAAAATTTGATCTAATATATTCAATCTAAAATATTAGATCTGATATTTCAGATCTGATCTATTAGATCTAATATATTAGATTTGATTTAATATACCAGATAAGATCCGATATAACAGATCTAATTTAATAGATCTGATTTGATCTATCAGATCTGATCTAAAATCATAGATCTTATATATTCCATCTGATAAATTGGATTTGATCTGATATTTAAGATCAGATCTGATATTTCAAATCAGATCTGATATTTCAAATCAGATCTGATATTTCAAATCAGATCTAATATATTAGACTTGATCTGAAATATCAGATCTGATCTGATATAATGGATCTGATGTAACAGATCTAATAGATCTGATCTATCAGATCTAATATAATCGATCTGATCTATCAGATCTAATATAATCGATCTGATCTATCAGATCTAATATAATCGATCTGATCTATCAGATCTAATATAATCGATCTGATCTATCAGATCTAATATAATCGATCTGATCTATCAGATCTAATATAATCGATCTGATCTATCAGATCTAATATAATCGATCTGATCTATCAGATCTAATATAATCGATCTGATCTATCAGATCTAATATAATCGATCTGATCTATCAGATCTAATATAATCGATCTGATCTATCAGATCTAATATAATCGATCTGATCTATCAGATCTAATATAATCGATCTGATCTATCAGATCTAATATAATCGATCTGATCTATCAGATCTAATATAATCGATCTGATCTATCAGATCTAATATAATCGATCTGATCTATCAGATCTAATATAATCGATCTGATCTATCAGATCTAATATAATCGATCTGATCTATCAGATCTAATATAATCGATCTGATCTATCAGATCTAATATAATCGATCTGATCTATCAGATCTAATATAATCGATCTGATCTATCAGATCTAATATAATCGATCTGATCTATCGTATCTACTATATATTCGATCTGATCCATCAGATCTGATCTGATATAATAGATCTGATCTGATATAATACATCTAATCTAATATATCAGATCTAATCTATCAGATCTGATCTATCAAATCTAATAAATTAGATCTGATCTGATCTATCAGATCTGAACAATTATAGTATATTTGATTCGATTTATATGATCTTACTTGATATACGTCATCTTTAAAATTGAAAAAAAAATTAGTAATTTATTTACAAGATTGGATATAGATCTACTTATAGTAAAAATACAAGTTCTACTGAATAAAAAAGAAAATTTTTACAAAAAAAAATATATCATGAGGTACTTAGATATGAATGTATTATATTCTCAGTAAAGATTAATATTAACAATTATCATAATATTAATAATACAGATAACAATTACTAATGATAAAATAATAAAAATAAACAAATTAAAGAATAATTAATAATAAAATAAACAATAAAAGTCTCGTATTTTTGTTCAATAAATTTATTTATTAATTAATATAATTAATTAATAACTAAATAAAAATAAAAATATTTAGATGAAGTAATTAAATATTTTTTTAATCACCAAAAAATAATTAATTAAATTATTGACTAAATACGAGACTATTTTTTTGCATGTAAACAGATTAACTATTAACGCAAGTATTAATCGGTAAATATATTTATATTTATGAAAATAAATAAGTAAATAATAATAATAATAATAATAATACATCCAAAGACATCCAAAGATTTCGAAGTATTCAGTGAAATTTTGAAAATTTGAATAAAAAAAAAGTTTTAATGATGAATTATGTATATTCGATATAATTGAAATCAGCTGTAATTAATACGTAAGAAATAGCACTAGAGTTATTAATTGTAAGAAAATAAATTATTAAATTTTAAACACACATGTAGTATGGTTTAACACATAAGGTTTATATTACATAATAAAATCTTAAATAAAAATCAAAAAAGAATTTTATTAATTTTTAACTTCCCAAATTATGAAATTTAACCCAAGATTAATGATTTTTTTTTTACTCAGAAACTATTGTAGATATTAAAATAAAATTCAGCTCAACAAATACACTCTTGAATAACACTAAAAATATCTAAATTTATTTTTTTAATATTCTTTATATGAATAAACAACGGGAGAACCGAGCTCTGACAAAACGTTGGTATAAAGCTCACGTACATGATAACTTGATAACGGCTCATCTAAAACACTAAAACCAAAATTATTTGCCTTCAATATATGAGTAGTTATTGCACCAGCTACGGAGATTAATATTTATTGATAAATAACAAAGTGGCGGACAATTTAAAAAAAAACTGAAAATTGAGGCTTTTTTTCACAGTTTTTAGTCCTGAAAAAATAGTAAAAATAAAAATTTTGATTTGGCTGTAGCTGATGCAACAGCTACTACTATGCAGAATATGTTGTTTAAATTTCATTAAGATCGGGTCAGTGGTTCCGGAGATATCATGTAC